AGGGACAGACGGGCAGGGTAAGGACAGGAACTGTGACCAACTCAAAGGGTGAAGGTTGTCCCTGCAGACCAGAAACAAAAGCACGAGATCATTTTAGTCAATGGCCAAACCCTAAGAAAAAACCTGAACAGGGTAACAGACCCTGCAAGAAAGGGGTGCTTTCCAAGAATCTGGGTCCATACTAAGGCCTTAAAGCTCCTGGCTCACTCTTTTTTGGAGGTGCACCTGCAACTAAAACCCTTCAGGTTCTTGAGCTTTTTAAAAAGATGTGTATTGGGCGCCTGGGTGGCTCAGTTGGTTAAGCGACTGCCTTCGGCTCAGGTCATGATCCTGGAGTCCCGGGATCGAGTCCCGCATCGGGCTCCCCGCTCAGTGGGGAGTCTGCTTCTCCCTCTGACCCTCTTCCCTCTCGTGCTCTCTATCTCTCATTCTCTCTCTCTCAAATAAATAAATAAATAAATAAATAAATAAATTTATAAATAAATAAAAAGATGTGTATTATTTTAAAGCAATCTCCACACCAATGTGGTGGGGCTCAAACCTATAACTCCAAGATCAAGATCATGAATTTGCAATTGCAACAGACCCAACTGGCTGACAAGGAAAGGGAAATGAAGGTAAAAAGCCCGCTGGATTACTCAAGCCTGACAGGTCCTCGCCAGGCCAATGAACAGTGGTCAGGAAATAACAAGACGTTCCCTTATGTTATCTATTATTTACATTTACGTCTCTGAAAGGCAGCCAGCTGTGCTCCTGCAGCAGAGACAGTTCCTTGGCCCACGAGCAAGGCTGGCCAATACAGGTCTCCGGGACTTTTCGTTTCTCAGGAGACAGTAAGCACAGAACCGACCAAACCAAGGTATAGATGTGCACTTACGACCAGCACAGGGACAGTGACCGCGTGGAGAAGACAAAGCAGGTCCCTGAGTCAACTGCCCAAGATGCCAGGTGGCTTTTCAGGGCACTTCCTCTGCACACTGGGTCTAAGCTGCCTGTCCATCCACAATCCAAGAGCCAATGTTTTTCCAGAAGTTGGCCCTCAAGTTCATTTGGAGGCAAAGCCTGACCCAACCAGTGTGTAAGAATGTTCCTGCTCTGGTGCTAAATGTCACCTTTGGAATGCAGGCTCTGCCTCAGGAATCATCAACACAACATGCCTAAAATCCAAACAATTCTGAATTCTGTAATGCATTTAGCCCCAAGGGTTTCAGGAAAGGAACCGGGCCAGTATTTGGTCCTCCCAGCTAAATCCCAAACTCTTCAAACATGCTTTATTTTATTCTTTTAGGACAGCTCCTCTAGACGCCAAGAAGAGGGAAGGACGCAGGAGGGAGGGTACACTCCTGGGGGGGGGGGCGGTCCTTGGCCTTCAGAGAGCTCTGCGGGCAGGGATGCCCAGACATCCCTGGTGTGGAAGATACTCCAGTGTCCCTCCCACAGGCCAGAGGAGATAGTGGAAGGCAGTGAAGTGAGGCAGTGCTTCCAGGTATGTCTGCCAACACAGGGTTTATACACAGGATGGCTTTCTTCTCAGGATGACGTGAACAATAGCCTTGTGTTCTAAGTCAGGCTGCGGACACAATCTTCCTGAACCCCATAAGGTGAACAGGATGAAAAGGATTTCAATTAATAGGTATCAGTCACCAGAAACAGTTCTTCATTCAACAAAAACCCAAGGTACATGGCACTGTGTGCCGGGTACCAGGACAGTCATAGAACACAGTACACCTGGACCCTGAGCTCACTGGAGGAGACAGATGGCAAAGGCCCAGAGCCATCATGGATGCAGTGAGAGCAGTGGGGACACAGATGGCACTTGGGGCTGGTGGGTGCGGGCTGGGAGGCACAGGGAGGGTTCCCTTTCTGAGCCAGGACAGGGTGTGGAAGGGCAGCACGCAGCCTGGCTGTGGGTTACTGGGGTGTGACCTGCTCTCTCCAGAGGTTCACTCTGCTTATCTCTAAAACAAGAGGAAAGTCAGAGGCTGCCAGCACGGTGGTACAATAATGCCAGGAAGCTCGGAGCTACTGGACTGCAACCTGTGCTCCAACAATGCGCACTGGGCTTTCACCGCTCTGCACGGGTTTGGTCTTTACCCTAAAGGCCTGTTGCAGACTTTAGCCAGAGGGGAATGTGAAGAATATGTGGGTTAACTCAAGAAGCAGACATGCTTTGTCCCTGCATGAGGAGTCCCAGGAGGCCTATCTCTCAGGATCACCAATAAGGTGGTGACCCACTGGTGCCAGTGTGCAGGATCAGGGCCCTGAGTAGTTTTCTTTGGGCTAATACTGGGTTATTCCCGTCACAAGACTGGGAGAAGCTGAAGCATAACTGAGATCTTGTTTACTCTCCTGCCACTCACATGTTGGACACACAGCGCTCCCACAGCTGCACTTCCTACTGATGAGAAAAGACACTTGGCCACAGTGAACTTGACAACTCAGCCAGCCCACGTGGAGCCCAGCTCATGGCAATTGCAGATGGCCTGCAATTTTCAAGGCTGAGTAGTGCTGGCCCATTCCTGTGGTACCACGCCCCAAAACACATTATGCAGTCCAACGTTTGAGCCAGTTGGTAGAAAGGAAGCATGAGGGAGAGGAAGAGAGAGAGAGAATCTTAAAAAAAAGAGAATCTTAAACAGGCTCCACGCCCAGCGCAGAGCCCAACGCCGGGCTCCATCTCACAACAGGGAGACCATGACCGGAGCCGAAATCAAGAGTAGGACGCTTAACCAACTGAGCCACCCAGGTGCCCCTTAAAAATTGTTTTTAGTACTGCTAAATTCCATATTTGCAGAGCTAGGTTGTCGTCATTTAAAAAACCTCAGCGTCCCACACATCCAAGGAGCTATGATGACAGAGCCAACAGCTGGGGGCGGCGGGGAGCCCCAGAAGGGCTGTTTATACCCAGGGCCAGGCGGGGGCTGGGCAGGGGGACAGCACACCCTAGCAAGACCCTGGCTGATTTTTTTATGAGGGTGACCAACGTCACACAATTCAATAGTACTAAGGAGCATGTGATTATCGCCAACGTCTCCAGGGGATGGACATATGCTGCCATGGGCAGTTTCTTCCCGCCCACAGGACTCCGGGGTTTGTTGCTCACTCAGTTGTAGGAGCGCTGTTTATCCAATTCATATACAACACAGAAGGGAGTGCTGTGAGGGCCTGAGGGTAAACTTGTTGAAACCTGCAAAATGCCCAACCTTTGCACTTCAATTTACTAGAAGCCATAATATCTGCTCCCCATAATTTAAATACAAAACGGACAAGACAGGCCATTAGACATTCAAACACCTTTGGGAAGCACCTGAGTGGGAGCTCAGCATGGGATGTCACAGCCTTGAGGGGGCATCTATGGAGGAGGGCGAGTTGGCTCTGGGCAAGAGGGCATCACATGGGAGCTGTCCCAGCAGTGACCTGGTGGGGGATGGGAGTGGGGGCTGAGGGTTGAAAGGGGTTCACATTAGGGAGGAGGATCGGGTATACGTGGGGTGCAAGGAAAACTGAACAGATAAGTAAAAGTACTGAGGATAATGAAAGCGGAAATCTAATTGTGAGGAAACATCAGATAAATCCAAATGGAGGGGTCTGCCTGTGATCTTCCAGATGGTCAAGGTCATGAAAGTCAAGGAAAAATGGGGGCTTGTCACAGAGGGGAAAAGACCAAAGGGACATAACTACATGTAACACAAGATCCTGGCCTGCATCCTTTTCTATAGATTATTGGGACAACTGACAAAGCTTGAATAAGGTCAGGATTCCATGGTAGTGGCATATTAATGTCACTTCCTGACTATAAGGGTTGTCCTGGGGGGACAGAGGAAACTCTCTTGTTCACTGGAAACACACACTCCAGTGTGCAGGGGTCATGGGCATCATGGCAGCAACCTATTCCCTGACAGTGCAGGAAGAAAATGTATTTGCACTGTTCTTGGAACATTTCTGTAAATCTGTTGATTATTTCAAAATAAAAAGTCAAACATGCACAAGGAACCTATGAGAACAAATGTAGAACGAAAGCTTCTTGGTTACAAAGTGCACTCGAAGGTAAAAGGATCAGGAATGAAATATAGCCCAGTCTGGCTTTTATGAGAAAGGAAAGTGTTGGTAAAGACAATAGATAAAATGTTGGCAGCTAGCTGGGTTGGGAGCAATACCATGAAGATCGCCATGAAGTATTTCTTTGAACTAATATGGTTCCCCACAAACGTCAGTCCCACAAAATGAGCAGTTCTCACCAAAGTGTGAAGGTCACAGATGATGAAGAAAGACTGAGGAACCGTCACAGATCAGAGGAGACTAAGGAGATAGAATGACTAAATGCAATGTGGGAGGCTGGACCAGAAAAAGGGCATTAGGGCAAAGACTGGGGAAATCCGAATAAAGCCCATTGTTCAGTTCAAGAGCACTGTACCAAGGTTAATGTCCTGGTTTTGATCATTGCACTGTGGTTCTGAAGGTGCTGACCTGAGAGGAAGCTGGGAGAAGGGTACACAGGAGAATGGGCTGTACTATTTTTTAACTTTTCTGCAAATCTAAAATTAACTCAAAATAAAGTTTTGTGGTTTTTGTTTTGTTTTGTTTTGTTTTTTGTTTTTTTAACAAAAGGATTTGCAGTGGCAGAAGCCTCCATGGGGATTACTCTCAATGCTTAAAACAAATAAAACAAAATTGTTATTATTCTACTTTTCTAATTCTATCATCTTTTCCTTTTCCAAAACAACTGAATGCCACAGTGCCTCTTAGGTCTTGCTTAAGAACAATGCAGCTGCTTGTTACTCACTGGCAACAGTATTACTCCAGATACAAACTGCAAAATACAAGGATGTTATACACCAGAGAACAGGCCCTGACAAGGCAGAAAGGAAGCATGTGAACCATCCACTGAGGGAGATGGGACAGGCGTGACCGTCCATGACACACATCAGGCTGAGCCAGGACCAGAGGGGCATGGTTGTCATGGTCCTGGACCCACAAAAAATGTCTTCTCAATGGCCTACCTGTCTTTTCCTTGATCTCACAGAGCACACTGAAGAGAGCTGGCTTCATCCGATGGCAATTCAGAGCATGCTTTCTGAAAGAGAAAGCACCAGAAGAGTGTGTTGAGAAAGAGAAGTTATCCTGTCAGTTCTGTTGAAGGTGGTCCTTACGAAGTTATAGTACAAAAGCATTTCATCCGAATTCCATCTTGCAAAATTCAAGTGGAGCAATATACGAATACTCAAACCGCTTCCCTTTACGTGTAGACTTTTATTTTTTTAAAAATATTTATTTATTTATTTGAGAGAGCGAGAACGAGAGAGAGAGAGAGTACATGAGGGGGGGGAGGGTCAGAGGGAGAAGCAGGCTCCTCGCTGAGCTGGGAGCCCAATGCGGGACTTGATCCCGGGACTCCAGGATCATGACCTGAGCCAAAGGCAGTCGCTTAACCAACTGAGCCACCCAGGCGCCCTACATGTAGACTTTTAAACAGTGCAAATTTAAATAATGCGAATAACTCATCAAGAGCTATGAATTTTCAAGGTCCAGTGATTTAAAAGCTGTGTTCGCACTACTGCCCCACAGCATCACTTCGATGCATAGCAGAAACCCCAGCTGTCCTACCCTAGGGTCACGAGACATTAATTTACGAGGTGTTTACTGAACAGCCACCATGTGCCATATACCATTCCAGGGTCACAGACACAGATGAGATTCCCACCCATGTGGCAGTTAAGATGGAGGGAGTGAGAGACACCAAACGCACACACAAACAAGACAACTATGAGCAGCGGCAGGTGCTTTGTGGCAACCAACAAGAGTGATGGCTCGAAGGTTTATTGGAGTCTGCATGTCTCTGACGTGACATCAAAGCCGAGATTGGAATGACAAGGAGAAGTCAGGCAGGAAAAGAGAGGCTGACGAGAGTAATAATTTAGGTAGAGGAAACGGCCAGTGCAAAGGCCGAGTGAGAACACACTTGGTTTTTTAAGAGCCCAGGATGCTACAGATTAAGGGGTGAGGGAAAGAGCCATGAGGTGAAGTTAGACAAGGGGGACCACCTCGAAGAGCCTTGTCAGTGAGAGAAATGACTCTGGCTTTTGTTTGCCTGTGATGGGAACTGTGATTGGCAGAAGGATAGCCCCCCAAGATGTCTACGTGCTGATCCTCAGAGTAAGTTACAAGGGAAAAAGACCTCTGTGGGTGTGATTAAGGTTAAGGACCCTGAGATGGGGAGATGAGCCTGTATTACCCAGATGGGCCCTATCTAATCACACAAGTCCTTAAAAGTGGACAACTTCTTCCAGCTGTAGTCAGAGAGAGAGAGAGAGACGGTGACCTAGAGTCAGAGACACTATGCTGTTGGCTCCAAAGATGGAGGAAGAAAGTACAAGCCAAGGAATGCAGGTGGCTTCAACAGGCTGGAAAAGGCAAGGAAATGGGCTCTTCCCCTATTGCCTTCAGAAGGAAGGCAGTCCTTAGAACACCTTGATTTTAGCCCAGGGAGATCCATGTTGGACTTGTACCCTACAGAAATGGAAGACAATAAATAAATTTGTGTTTTAAGCAGCTAAGTTAGTGGCGATTTGTTACAGTGGCAACAGAAAACCATTACAGGGAGCAACGGGGATTTTACAGAGCAGTTATCACATGATATGAATTGCATTTCTTATTAGTGTTGATTTTTTTGATATGTAATTCACATACCATAAAATTCACCCTTAAAAGTATACATAAAATTCAGTGGCTCTTAGTAAATTCATGATGTACAGCCGTTACCACCATCTATTTCTACAACACTCTCCTCACCCCCAGAAGAAACCCTGTTCCCGTCAGCAGTCATTCCCCCTTTCCCCCTCTTCCTCCCACCGAGCAACCACTAATCCTTCCGTCTCTATAGTTTGTCTCTCCTGGACATTTCATACAAATGGAACCACACAGCATGGGTCCTTTTGTGGCTTGCACCTATCCCATAGCATGTTTTCACAGTTCTTCCAAGTTCTTGTATACCAGCGCTTCATCCCTTTTTAGGGCCAAACAATATTCCACTGTATGGATATGATTTGTTCATCCATTTATCAATTGATGGACATTTGGGTTATTTCCACTTGGGGCTACTATGAACATTTATGTGGAAGTGTTTGTGTGAGCACGTGTCTAGGGAGAGTTGCGGGGTCATATAGTAACTTTGTGTTTAACTTTCTGAGGAAATGCCAAACTTTTATAAAATGGCTGTACCATTTTCCATTCCCATCAGCAACTTATGAGGGTTCCAATTTCTCCACATCCTCACCAACACTTGCTATTGTCTTTTTTATTATAGCCACACCAGTGGATGTGAGGTAGTAGCTCACTGTGGTTTTGATTCGCTTTTCTCTAAAAACTAATGACACTAAACATCTTTTCATGTGTTTATCAGCCATTCTTCTTTGGGGAAATGTCTATTTAAATCCTTGGCTCTTGGGTGCCTGGGTGGCTCAGTCGGTTAGGCGTCTGCCTTCGGCTCGGGTCATGATTCCAGGGTCCTCAGCAGGGAGCCTGCTTCTCCCTCAGCCTGCCTCACCCCCTGCTTGTGTACTCTCTCTCTGACAATAATTTATTTAAAAAATTAAATTCTTTCTTTAATGGGGTTGTCTTTTTACTGTTGAGTTGTAAGAGTTCCTTACATATTCTGGGTACTAGACTCTAATCAAATACCTATTATTTGAGTTGTCGAGTTGTCTTTTTACTTTCTTGATAGTGTCCTTTGAAAAACAGAGTGTTTTTTTTTTTAAAGATTTTATTTATTTGAGAGAGAGAGAGACACAGAGAGAGAAGGAACACAAGCAGGGGGAGTGGGAGAGGGAGAAGCAGGCTTCCCGCGGAGCAGGGAGCCCGATGCGGGGCTCGATCCTCATGACCTGAGCCGAAGGCAGACGCTTAACGACTGAGCCACCCAGGTGCCCCCAGAATTTTTCATTTTAAAGAAATCCAATTTATCTATTCTTTCTTTTGTTGCTTGTGCTTTAGGCATCATATCTAAGAAACTGTTTAATTCAATGTTACAAAGATTTATGCCTGTGTTTTCTTCTAAGAGTGCTACAGGGTTAGCTCTTACTCTTGGGTATTTGATCCATTTGAGTTAACTTTTGTATATGGTGTTAGGTAAGGGTTCAAATTCATTTTTTTGCATGTGCATATCCAGTTTTTCCAGGCCATTCCTTGAAGAGACTATTCCTTCCTCCACTGAATGGTCTTGGCACCCTTGTAGAAAATCAACTGGCCCTATATGTATGGGTTTATTCCTGCAACTCAACTCTATCCGTTGATCTACTTGCCTATCTTTAAGTGAATTGCATTTTTTTAAATATTTTATTTATTTATTTGACAGAGAGAGACACAGCAAGAGAGGGAACACAAGCAGGGGGAGTGGGAGAGGGAGAGGGAGAAGCAGGCTACCCACCAAGCAGGGAGCCCGATGCGGGGCTCGATCCCAGAGCCCTGGGATCACGACCCGACTCCCAACAACTGAGTCACCCAGCTGGCCCGTGAATTGCATTTTTAAAAGATCACTGTGGCTGCTCTGAGACCAAAATGGAAGGCGAGGGATGGAACCAGGAACACAGTCTAGAGGCTACTACAGCTGTAATAGTCCAGAAATGCTGCTGGCCTAGTTTAGAGTTATGGTAATAGACATAAAAAGTAGATAGATCTTGGGCCGCCTGGCTGGCTCAGTCAGTGGAGCGTTTGACTTGATCTTGACATCCTAAATTTGAGCCCCACATTGGGCAGGAAGCCTACTTTAAAAAAAAGAAAGAAAAAAGTAGATAAATCTTTGACTTCACTGATGGAATCAACACGACCTTCTAAAAAAGTGGTGTGGGATTTTGGGGAAAGAGGAGATTCAAGGATAACTACTAGTTTTGGGCCTGAGCAACTAGATTAAAGGAGATACCATTAACTACTATACGGGAGACTGGAAGGCAGCCGGTTTAGGGAAGAAGGGTCTGGAAAGCAGAGCTGTGCTTTGATCAGGTTACACGTGAGATACCTATGAGCTATCCAAGAGAGGTATCAAGTAGGTATCAAGCTGGGCACATGGACATGGGACTCAAGGTTGGAGATAAGCAATATAAAGATGGGAAGTCCTGGGCATAAAGATGGGAAGTCCTGGGCATAGAGATGGCACTTTAAGCCACAAGACTTGAGGAAATCACCATAAGAGAGTGTAGAGAGGGGTCCATGTCCCAGGCCCAGGCCCATGGACTTATAGAAGTCAAGAAGAGAAGAGCCTACAGAAGAGACTGGGACTGAACTGCCATTGAGGAGGAACCAAGAAAAACAGTTTCAAGGAGAGAAGAGCAATCTGTGAAAAATGCTTCTTAGAGGGAAAGCAAGAAAAGAACCCAGGAGAGACCTTGGACTTAGCAACATGAAGGTCACTGGTGACTCAGCAGAGGGAAGAGAAGGTTGGGAAAGAATGGATGGAGGAGGGGAAGTGGAAGCAGCAACCACAAACTCTTTGATATTTGATCATAAAGGAGAGTAAAGAAATGCAGGAGGTGCTAATAGAAAAGGTGTGTATTAAGCAGGTTTTTTATTATCTGTTTTTTATTTATTTACCACGCTGCCCTCATGTTCACAAGAATTATTACTTCATCTCTGCTAGTCAGCTGGAGCGTTATGGACCTTCTTTCCTGCCTCACATTCATGTTATGTCTTCCTTCCTTCCTTCTTTCCTTCTTTCCTCCTTCCTTCCCCCCATCTTTCCTTTCTTAAGTATGCTCCATGCCCAGCAGCGTGGAGCCCAACGCGGGGCTTGAACTCCTAACCCTGAGATCAAGACCTGAGCTGAGATCAAGAGTCGGGCACTTAACCGACTAAGTCACCCAGGCACGTGCAAGACTCTGATGGGTGGTCTGTCCCACCCCGGATTCCTTACTCCCTCTCCTGTTCCCTTTAAAGCATTTACTATGGCTTGCCTGGGCATGAGGAAGGCCTCAACTTACTGTTTTCAGAAACCCCAGGCCCACACTGTACTTGGCACACTAGCTGAGCAAAGACTTGCTGAACTGAACTGAAGAAAAGGTAGAAGCTATATATGTCAAACTGGCA